TGTGAATGTACTTCATGCCACTGAATTGTATACTTTAAAGCAGTTACAATGGTAAATGTGATCTGCATTGTTAATATTATATGTATTTTGTATATACGTACTTGTAATTCTTAAAATATTATATGCATTTTGCCAGAATTAAATAATCGATTGATCATAAATGTAGGGATTTGTTTACAGTCTCTCAATCTGTTCCACTTATGTATGCGCTTATCTGTTCATCAATACCACACTGTCTTTATCACTGTAGTTTAAAATAAGTTTGGGGGGGGCACCTGGGTGGCTCATTCAGGTAAGCATCCGACTTCACCTCGGGTCATGATCTCACAGTTCCTGGGTTTGAGCCAAGGCCGGGCTCTGTGCTGACAAGTCAGAGCCTGGAGCCTGCCTCAATTCTGTGCCTCCCTCTCTCTCTGCCTGTCCCCTGCTCACGCTCTGTCTCTCTCTCTCTCTCATATATAAATAAACATTAAAAATAAAAGAACAAAATAAAATAAGTTTTGAGGAGTGATCATGATCTGAGCCAAAATCAAGCTTAACCAACTGAGCTACCCAGGCACCCCAGGTTATCTTCTTAATTTCATTTTTTGAATTTTTGTTGCTAGTATATAGAAATACAATTGCTATCTTAATATTGATCTCATGTCCCGTGTCCCTGCCAAATGTTTATAGATCTAGTAGCTGTTTTCTCTGCGTGCATTTCTTGGGATTGTCTCCATATATAAAGATAATTTTATGTCTTCCTTTCCAATCAGAATGGTTTCATTTTGAGGGGTGAGGGCTTATTCCACTGGCTAGAACCGCCCGTTTTATGTTGAATTGAGATGGCAAATCTGGACACCCTGCACTTTTCCCGGAATGAGGGAAACCCTTCCTTGTTTTTTAGGTTTATTTATTTCGAGAAGGATAGACAGAGAGAGACCAGGGGAGGGGCACAGAGAGAGCTTGGGAGAGAGAGAATCCCACAGAGGCTCCATGCTATCCAGCGCGGCGCCTGACTTGGGACTCGATCTCACCGACCTTGGGTGAGATCATGCCCTGATTCTAAGCCGAGAGCTGGATGCTTAACTGACTGAGCCACCCAGGGACCCGAAACCTTCATTCTTTCACCATTCAGCACTATGCACACTGTACGATTGTGCAGATATTCTTTAGTAGGCTGAGGGAATTCCCTTCTATACCAAATGTGTTGAAATTTTCCGTCACGTACGGGCGTGGGATTGCGTCACCTCTGTTTTCGGCATCTCTGCAACAGTCATGTTCCCGTTCCTGTGTTAATATGGACTAGAACATTAACTGATTTTAAGATGTGAAGCCAACGTTGCACTCCAGGGAGAAATCCCACTCGGTCGTGGCGTGTCTCTCGAAGGTGTTTGCACCAGGCCTTGCCTGGTCGCCCTGCGTGCCATTCACACAGCGCGCTGTCCACGAGGCCGAGAAAAGAGAACCACGGTGTTGGCGCTGTGGAGCCGCCAGCATTCTATGGGGCTGCAGCCTTGCACAAATGCCTCCCATGACAGGCTCTCAGCTTCCCAAGGACTCCACACAGGAGCCCCTCGTCCCCCAAAATTACACACAGGGGCTCACACGCCAGCCCGTTTCTCCATGGCCGCCATGCTTGCTGGGCCAACGATGACGTCCTTGCAGTCAGCCTCTTAGTGGCCACAAGAGCTCCCATTGGCTGGAGGGTGCTGGCGGCGGACCCCGTGGGAGGAGCGCTCCAGAAGCACCCAGCTTGGGGCATGTGCCTGCTCCTGGGAAGGCAGCAGTGTTCTGAGGTGGGTGCAGAGCAGAAGGCATGGCCCTGAGAGGCCACTGTGACCTTAGGGCATCCGCCAGGCAGAGGCTGCGAGAGAGGCACGGCGTGTGCTTTGTTTGGCGTGGCTGGCCCCGCAGGTGGCGGAGACGATGAGACCTTGCCCAGGCTTGCGACCAGGACTGTGGGCTTCTTCCACAGGAGTGTGGGCTCTGCGGAGGACACTGCCTGAGGCAGCCCGGGGCCCTGCCAGGGACGGGCTCAGAGCCTTTGTCCCCCATGTAAGGCCCCTCCCCAGAGAGGCCCCCTCACCCCTGGTCCAGGCTGCTAGGGAGGCTCCATGGTGTGTGCATGAGGAGTACATTCCCCAGTCGGCGTCAGCCGGGCAGAGTCTCCTGTCCCCCTGAGTGGCGAAGATGCTGGCCGGGAAGCCTGTGGGGTGGGGCTGCCCTCCCCTGCATTGCCCCAGAGCGCCTGTAGCTGCCGCCTGCTGGGTCTCCCCGATTCCAGGGTGCATTTGATCTTGTTTCCCAAACACTCGTGTACGTGAACCGCAGTGATCTAGTCGTATGTCTGTCGCCGGTACATGGCCAGGGGCCACACTTAACGAGCTCGTCTTTGTGTCCCGAGACCCCGCCTCAGAGTCTGGCACAGAGCGGATGGCTCAGGGGACACCAGCGGGGGCGTCACTGTGTCGGTGGGCCCTCGTGAAAACGGACAGGGTTTGCTGGGGTGGACGGTGTCCCTGCGCCGAAATGTGCTCATGGGACAAGCAAGCACTTGTCTCTGCCAAGCACGGAGCCCTGGGTCTCAGGGGCATTAGTGCCATCTGATCCTCGGAAGACCCTCACGAGGGAAGTCAGGGGACTGTCACGCCCACTTTACAGCCAGGTCAGGGCCACACGCCCAGGGAGGAGTGGGCACCGGCTGGTCTCCCCCAGGCTCGGAGGCCCAGCAGCCAGTCCCTGATGTGCGTGCCCTGCCTCGGAGGCACTTCTTCCGCAGGACACGTGCATCATCAGTCAGCGCCATCCTCCCCGCTGGGACCCGGCCTCCCTGGCGCCCACACCACATGCAGCTTCTCTGACCGAGGAGCCCTGGAGAGGTGCGGCGTCAGCCACAGAAGACTGCGGCTTGGAGCTTTTCTCTCCCTTCCCTCCATCGGAGGGCAGGGCACCGAGGGTGAGCGGGGGGGCTGCGAGCCTGTGCAGAAAGGGTACAAAGATGGCAGAGGAAGTCAGGGCCCGTGTGAGGAAGCAATTAGCGATTCGTACATAAGCTGCCCGGCGGTGTCGCAGCGCACAGGGCACAACTGTGCAAAGAGCCAGTAGGCCAGACTGAGGATGAGGCGGGAGTGCTCCCCAGGTCGGAGGCCAGCTGCAAACCCAGAGAGGTGGAGAGAGAGGGAACCCTGGGGTGACCCCTGGGCTCTGGAGGGGAAGTGGAGGTACTGTGTTATCTCCTGGCTTTCAGTAGAGATAGGAGTAAGATCTTCTAAACTCTAAACTCGAATCTCCAGTGAAGGCAGCCACAGAGTCTTGAAGACACGGCTGAAGAAATGGCATTTCCAGTTTCCAACAAAACAAATCAAAGGAACCACACACTGAACATGACACAGAGGGGCTGTGGATGCTGATAGAGCCCAGGTATCAGGACGATGGACAGTGCCGGCCAGATGCGTAGAACAACCACAGTGAGCTCGGGGGAGGAGGACAAGGAGAGAACAAGCTGAGAGGGGAGCCCTCCGGGGGTGGGGGGCAGGTGCGGGGAGCGAGGGAACTCCCACCCCAGGCTTGTCCTGGCGCCTGCAGCGTGAGGACCTCACACACCCACCGGCCTGAGTCTCAAGGGTATAGTGAGGTCCTCACCGGGTTCTGTCACACATACCGTCTGGAGAGGCCCAGCGACACCTCAGTCTCAGAAGGCTGCGGCCTGGGAACAGCTCCTAGGCAGGGAAGGTGGGTGGAACGTACACCCCAAGGGCAGGGGTGGAGGGGAGGAGCCTTCGATCGCCCGGGGTCAAGCTCTAGGGTCAACCGAGACCACATCCTCAGCATGACCTCCTCCAAAGACGGCCATGGAGATGACGGGCACTTTAGGGGAACAAAGCACCCAGCATGGCACCCGGGGCTGGGCAGGCTCTCGCCACCGCCAGTTGCCTTCACTTGGCGTCCTCTCCTCCTAGTGACAAGGCCGCTTCAGCTGAGACCTGAGGACAAAGGTTGGAAAGCCATCAACACGCCGAATGCTCACAGCCAGCTGGAAGGCTCCCTACTGATGACGCATGGGTGCAGGTGGTGGCCTGGGGCCAGGCAGAGCTCTGGTCTGAGCCTCGCATCTTGGTTGGGACAGGCCGCCTGATCCCTGGGCTGGGTCCGGGCCCATCAGGAACTGGACAGAACCATCCAGACAGAGCAGTGGGAAGGTCAGGGGCCCGGCAGGTCCTGGCGTCCATCCCTCCTGTGGTGACGGGTGTTGGGAGGGTCGCTCTCGTCAGGGTGCCCTGGCAGCTGGAGCACACCCAAGGCTCGCACCAAGCACACCCAGGCCGTGCTCCTCACCGTGACCGTGAGCCTGCACCCTCAGGACCCCTCCCCCCTGGGGACCGTGGGCCTCCCGTCTTCACCTCGGCCCCTGCGGCCCTCCCCAGGCCCCCTCCGCCAGCCCTCCGTCCGCCTGACCGCCCGTCCTTAGCCTGCAGCTGCCTCGGGCCCCGTGGCCAGGCTTCTCAGGGGAAGCACAGAAGGGACAGTTTGGGCCTAACACGGGGGAAAGGGGTGCAGGCTTCCAGTCCCTGCGATGTATCTTTTCCACAGCTGGGCGGCCACCTGGCCTGCGGGGCGGCAAGGGGGACCTTGCTCTGCTGTTGCAGAGGGCCCTCCGGGTGACCTGCATCCTGTGCGGAGAACCCATTTCACCCCCCTTCCCCCTGCTCCCCCTCAAGCTTCCGCTGTATGAAGTGCTTTCTAAGAGCAGGCTGGAAAATGCAGAAAAGTCTTAGGTGCTCGGTTGTTGCGACAGAGGTTGTGAGTGGGACAAACTGCACCTCTGGGGCCAGGCCTGCGCTCCCGTCCTCTCCTCCAGGGCTGCTGGCCCAGGCAGGGCAGGTCTCTGAGTGTCTTCTGAACAGGCCTGCACCCCTGCCCCAGCCGCGCCCCCCTTGCAGCCCCCCCAGGTGCCCCCCTCCCCCTGCCCTGGGCCCTCCAGGGCGCCGTCACCGGCTACCGCACCACACCACGGTGGCCTCCGGGTTGATTGTATTTTATTGATCGCGAGCTGTGTATTTTTTTAACTTAGAGTGACAAGAGTGGACAAAACCAGAAACAAGAACAGGTCTCAGCAGACGGCGCTGTCCGGTACAGTTAATGACACGCAGGAAAGTGACACTCATCCTTTTGAGCTCGTGTCTCTGATTTCGTGGAAGCTTCGCTGCCTGGGAAACAGACTGCAAATCAGTAAAGTGCACTGAGAGCCCCCAGGCAGCTGGGGCCCGTCGGGGGAAGAGGGAGGCGGTGGCAGGAAGCACGCTAACTACTCAAGGCCAAAATGGTCAGAAAAGCAGAGGCAAGAACACATGCTGAGGATGTGCGCCCCCCCCCCCAGTCCCGGGGGCCCCGGAGAGAGTTCTGTGCCCTCGGGGAGGGGGAGACCCGGGCATCCCTGAGGCTCCCCCCACACCTCTCCCTGTTGGGAAGAGGTGTCCTAGGCCCCACACGGCTGCAGCTGGAGAGGTCACCCCGAGGGTGAGACCTGGGCTTGAGGGGGCACATCTGTGGATCAGCCCCAAGGAGGCCCCTCGTCCTCCCCGCTCAGGCAGCCCCGTGGGGCCCTCGCAGGCTGTCCCCACAGATCTGCGGATGGGGTCAGCAGGCTGCCAGGCTCCCAGAAGTGGTCCTGGGTGGAGAGGGACGGGGTGCAGGAGGGGCCCGGGGCCCGGGGAGCCCAGGACACTTGGCGCAAGGTCGTCAGCCAGCACACCCTGTGTGTGGGAAACAGCAGGGGGTATATGGTGGCCGCGTCTGGCCTCGGTCCCCCGGGTCGGGCAGGCAGAGCTTTTCACCCAGGACCCGGCCTCCAGCTGGACGGCCAAGGAGGGCAGGCCGTGTGACACTGGGCCACTCGGTCCCTGGGGCTGACCAGACCCCTGCGGTTTTCAGGGCCAGGAACTCGGAGCACTGGGGGCCGCGAGCAGCCAGTGGCAGGGCGGCTGTGGGCCTGGGGTCCTTCCCGGCTCCCCTCGGGGCCCAGCCTGGCCGTCCTGGAACACGAGGAGCAGCGCGCCCGGGGCCTCCAGGACCGTCCAAGCCCGTCTAGAGGAGGTTCTCCCGTGCGGTCCTGGCCTTGGGGGGCCACGCCTGGGGACAGAGAGATGGCGTCATGCGTGGGTCCCAGCCCCACCCCACCCCCAGCTTTATCCCTTCACCCTCCTGGTCCCATCGTGTTCCCAGGAGCCACGCCCACCCCACCCCCCCCACGCTGCCACCCAAACCGTGGGGCTTGTGCCCCCGGACTGCTGAGGAGTCGTTGGTCAAGCCTGGGGTGGGGCAGCAGGGGACGCCAGGCCGTGCGCATGAAGCCCTCGGCTCCACAAGGGTTCTGGGCCCATTTCAGCACCGACTGTCTCCCCTGTGACCTGCCACCCGCTCCAGGGAAAGCCAGGTCCCCGCAGTCCCTACCCTGGGCCTCTTCTCCCCCTCGGTCCCCTGGGGGCCTCGAGCTGCCCTCCCCCACCCCGACCTGCCCAGGCCAGGTTTTCTGGAAGACTGGGAACAGAGTCAGCCCCACCACTTCTCATCTGTGTGACAAAGGCAAATGAAGCCCGCTTTTCCCATCACAAGGCGGGGAGAACAGCACTCCCTCAAAGTGACGCTACGAGGTCTAGTGTGGAGGTGACGGTCTCGTCCTTCCCCACGCCAGAACTGGACCGCTGGGCACCCCACCCCTCCGTGCCTCTGCCTGGGAGGCCCTTCCTGTCCTCCTGGACCAGGCCCTTCACCCAGCAGCTCCCCAGGCAGCCCTGGGGCCAGAGGCGCCCCTGGACGGGGATCTGAGTCTCTTGACAAGGCCAGAGAAAGGGCGGTCACCACCTACAATCACTGGTTCCTGAAAGACAGAAAGAGATGGAGACTTGACAGTGGCATCCTGGCCCAGAACAGCCCCTTTCCCCAAGGGCTGCCTCCTCGCCAAGCCCCTCCTCCACCTGCCCGCCCCGCCCCAGCCTGAGAGCTGCCCGCTGCTCAGGGGGATCCCACCTTCCCCAGTTCCTCTGGGTGCCCAGGGGCTGCTGGAGGAGGCACTGGCTGGCACCTGGCAGGCAGAGGTAGGGGCTGGAGGGAGCCGGGCTGCGATGGCCGAAGAGCCAGACTGTGGGGGCAGGGACAGGGCGGAGCAGCCTTCAGGTCTCCAAACGTCCGATGTCCAGCCCCGAGGATGCCTGGCCTCAGAGGGGGAGGGGAGCGGGAACAGGCCGAGAGCGGCCCCCCAGCCCCCTACACAGGGCAGGAGGCAGCTCTGCCAAGGGCTGGGAGGGAGCTGTCGAGACCCCGGGGGCCCGAGAAGGGGACTGACCAGGGGTTTGGCCAAGAACACAGCCACCCTTCCTGTCTGGCCTCACAAGGGGGTGAAAGATGGCAGCATCTTTTCCTTCTAGAGCCTTCCCCGGCGCTTCCCCTAGCCCATTCTCTGAGGTTCAGGTGGCAGCCCAGGGGCCTCGAGGGAAATTGGCTGGGATGGACTGATCCTCTGAGATGCCCAGGCCACCGCCGCCCCCTCACCCGTCTGGGAATGAGGACCAGGGAGTCCTAGGCGCCCGTGCCCCCCCCCCCCTGGGCAGCTCAGGGGCTGGCTCCCTCGGATCCCGTCCACTGTTCCTCCCAGCCACCAAGATGTCATAGCAAACGCCCCCGCCGCCCATGGCTCCAGCCTCTGGCCTCCTACCTTGCTGATCGGGGCCACTCAAGTCCCTGCTGCAGAATTTTTCCTTTCTGCTTCCCCCACCCCGGCCAACGTGAGGCAACAGGTCTGCCGCAGTCAAATGCTTTTTTTTTTTTCTCGAGCCCGACGAAGAGGACCCGTTTGGTGAGGTTCTGTGCAATCGGCCATCGGCCGCGACGCGTGTGGGCGGGTCGGGGCCGGGCCGGGCTGGGTAGCTCGGTGGCCCGCGTCCTCCCGCCGAGGACTAGGGTGCGGGGGGCCCGGCCGCGCCGCCTCCTGCCCCCGCCGCGCGCTGGCCGCCGTCCTCCATGCCCGCGCCGGGTCCGTCTCGGCCGGGCGCGCGGGACCCTCCGGCCGGGGCTGCGGCGGCGCGCGCTCACTCGATCCGCACCTGCAGGCGGACGTTGAGCATCACCGAGGCCACCACGTAGAAGTAGGGGAAGTTCATGCGCAGCCGCCAGGCCAGATCGAAGAAGGTGATCAGCGTGCGCGTGAGCCCCCTGCAGAAGGCGCCGTACGAGCCGCGGGCCGCCGCCGAGCGCGACAGCCGCACCGCCAGCCCTGACAGGGCCGCCGCCGCCGCCGCGGACAGAGCAGCGGATGCCGCCATGGGCCCGGGCCCGCGCAGGCCCCGCCGACTGACCGGAGTGCGAGCGGCCGGGCAGGTGGACTAGAGGCCTGCAGTGCCCCGCCAGCCGCCGGCGCCCTCCCGCCCCGCCCGCCCTCGGTCACCTCTCCACTTGCTGCACCCGGGATACACCCTCTGCCACCGCCGCCGCCTCCGCCACCGCCCCTTCTTAGCAGCTCACCGAGAGCTCCGCCCACCGAAAACTCCGCCCCTCGCCTGCTGCCGGAGCGGCCCCGGCCACTATAACCCCGCCCCTCTCTTGGCCACACCCCTCCCGGGCGCTCGGAGCGGCGGCCGCTGTGTTAGACCCGCCCACGGGACCGCCCCGTCTGCAAGCCCCTCCTCCTCCTCCTGGGCTCCCAAGGGCAGAGCTTGAGCGCAGGAGTGCGTTGGAAGGTGTTGCTCCCCAGGGACTGCTTTTGCGGCGTGCCCTTGAGCGGAGCGGAGGGCCAGGGGGTCTAGACCGCTATACTGATTCTGTATTGAAGGCCCACTGGGAAGACTCCACCGGTTTACCTTATCCTCCTGCCCCACTGTCTCCTCAGAAAACCCCGCGGGCAACCCATTGCACCTTTCGTTAATTCACATTTCTCTGCTAACTCAGCAGTTTCCCCAAACTACAGGTGTATTTTTTTCCTGTCTGGTGTATTTGCTGGTCATGCATATTTCTTTATTGTTTAATTGCCCTGTTACCCCCGTTGCCTTTACCCCTCACATCATAGTTATTTCTAAATACTCGTTTATCTTTGCCCCAGATACTGCACAAGGTCTTCTCAATTTTCATTTGCCCTTGTTTATGGCTTTTTTCCCCCTTGCTGGTGGGCTTAAAAATCCTTGCCTGGTTTCATCTCATGTTTATTCTATTTTTTTTAATAGATTGGTTTAATTTTTTTTAACATTTATTTATTTTTATTTATAGGAGAGAGAGAGAGAGAGAGAGACAGCGTGAGCAGGGGAGGGTCAGAGAGAGAGGGGGTCACAGATTGAAACAGGTTCCAGGCTCTGAGCTGGCTGTCAGCACAGAGCCCGATGCGGGGCTCGAACCCACGAACTGTGAGATCATGACCTAAGCGAAAGTCGGATGCTTAACCGACTAAGCCACCCAGGCGCTCCATTATTCTAATTTTTTAAATGTTTTATTTATTTCTGAGAGAGAGAGACAGCGTGAGCAGGGGAGGGTCGGGGGGGGACACATAATCCGAAGCAGGCTCCAGGCTCTGAGCTAGCTGTCAGCACAGAGCCCGACGCAGGGCTCGAACCCACGAACCGTGAGATCATGACCTGAGCCGAAGTCGGACGCTCCACCAACTGAGCCACCCAGGCGCCCCATCTCATCTTCATTCTAAGACACATCCAACCCAAACTCGACCACTATTGAAAAAATCAAGCTTCATTATAGTCATGACTTTTGAAAAGCTGTCTGCAAAAAGGAGAGTCACCATGACCTCATCCCAGTTTTCACAAGAAGGGCTGGCCTGAGTATTTAAGCTCTGTCAAAATGCCGATTCATTGTCACAGTAAACATGTGTGGCATCTCTCTAATGAAGGAACTCAGCAGAATTACATACACTTTTTGAGCAATTGGCATACCTACATGGTCATGGGTAAAAAAAGAATTTCAGAAACACTAGGTTATTGTGTGGCATCGTGACTTTATCTACAACATAACCATGCACAGGTATGAATGCATTAAAAAATCCTAGAGCAGATAGATCGAATTACTCAACATTGTTTATCTATGGTTAAGGCAGTAGGAAGACATCATTCTTACTCTCCGTATACATATGTATATCTATTTGTATATCTCTAAGTATTATTTGTGTAATACAATGAAAAAAGAAGGGCCACCGAAATACAGTCTTAAGCCACATAGAAACCCTTTTGTTTCAGACTGAATCCAGCCTCATTCACTTCGACAGCTTATTTCCTCTAATCATTTTTGAAACCCCTCCTTGGCTTCATGTCATTTGTTTTTTTAACTTTACTTTTTTGTTTTAAAGAGAGAGATAGAGCTCAAGCAGGGGTAGGGGCAGAAAGAATCTCAAGCAGGCTCCACGCTCAGTGCTGAGCCTGAATGGGATCATGACCTGAGCCAAAACCAAAGTCCCACAGTAACCAAATGAACCACTCAGGTGCCCCGTCATCTCATTTGTTTTTAATCTTTTATTTTGAAATAATTATAGACTCACAGAAAGTTGCAAAAATAGTACGAAAAAAACCTTGTGCCTTTCACCCAGCTTGCTCAATGGTTGTGTTTTCTATAGATGCAGTGTAATATCAAAATCAGGAAATCGACATTGGTACATTACTCTTATTTAGACTACAGGCCTAATCAGCTTTCACCATTTTCCTGACCTGCATTAATTTGTGTGTGAGTGTGTGTGTGCGTGTGTGTACATGTATTGATCTAGCCATTTTATCACATGTCAGGATTCCTGTAACACCATTACAATCAAGATACAAAAATATTCTGTCACCGCAAAAGACCTCCTTTGTGCTACCTCTTTGTACTCACTGAGTCCCCTGTACATATTTTGTTAGAGTTATAGCTATTTCATTTTATTTGGAGTGTCTGTGAGTGGTACTATATGTTTAATTTTGGTTTCCACGTGTTCATTGTTAGTATATAGAACTGCAATTGAATTTTTAATTCAGTTCTTTTATTTTAGGGGCGCCTGGGTGGCTCAGTCGGTTGAGCGTCCGACTTCGGCTCAGGTCATGATCTCAGTTTGTGGGTTCAAGCCCTGCATTGGACTCTGTGCTGACAGCTCGGAGCCTGGAGCCTGCTTCCAATTCTGTGTCTCCCTCTTTCTCTGCCCCTCCCTTGCTCATGCTCTGTCTCTGTCTGTCTCAAAAATAAATAAACTATAAAAAAATTTAAATTCTTTTGAGATAGTCGTAGTTTTAACATGCGGTTGTAAGAAAAAACACAGAGAGATCCTATGGACCTTTCACGGAGTTTCATACAGTATTGCATCTCTCAAATCTATAGTACGGTACCAAAACCAGGATATTGACACACCTATCTATCTTGTTCAGATTTCCCCCAATTTACTTATTCTTGTGTGTGCGTGTATATTTAGCTCTATGCAATCTTATCAGCTGTGTAGGTTCATGCATCTACCATATAGTCAAGAAATAGTTTCTTCACCATAAGGAATCCCTCCTGTTGCCCTTTTCTGAACACACCCACTTCCATGCCCCTCTTTCAAGACCTGGCAGCCACTAATCTGTGTTGTCCATTTTCGTTCAAGAAGGTTATACAAATTAAACCATACAATGTGTATCTTTTGGGGATTAGCTTTTTTTTTTTTTTTTTTCTTTTAAGCAGCATCAGTCTCCTGAGAGTCAGCCAGCTGTGGGAAATGTCAATAGTCACTTCTTTTTATTGCCAAGTAGTATTCTGTGGTATGGTCACAACATAGTTTGTGTGCCATTCACCCATAAAGGACATCAGGGTTGTTTCCAGTTTTGCTATTAGGAAGAAAGCTACTGTGAATATCGGTTTACAGGTTATTATGGGAACCAAATTTTTTTTCTGAGATAAATGCCCCAAAGTTCTATTGCTTGGTTATATGGCAAGTGTATGTTTAGTTTCGGGATCCTGCCAAACTTTTTTCCAGAGTGGCTGCGACATCATACATTCCCATCAGCAATTTAGGAATACATCCAGTTTCTCTGCATTCTCAATTAGCACTGGGTGTTGTCACTGTTTTTTCTTTTTGCCATTCTGATGGAGTGATCTTTCATTGTGATTTTAAAGTTTATTTATTTATTTTTGAGATAGGGTAGGGGCAGAGAGAGAGCGCATAGAGAGAGAGAATCCCAAGCAGGTTCCACACTGTCAGCGCCGAGCCCAACGTGGGACTCAATCCCATGGCCCTAGGATCATGACCTGAGATGAAATCAAGAGTCAGATGCTTAACCACTACCAGAAACCACCCATGCACCCCTCATTGTGGTTTTAGTTTGTATTCCCCTAATAGCTAATGATGGCAAAAATCTTCTAATGTGCTTATTTTCTATATGTATATCCTCTTCCATGAAATGTCTTTTGTCATTTTCTAATTGAGCTGTTTGGTTTTTATTATTAAGTTTTGTGAGTTTCTTATATATTGTACATATGACAAACACATGATTTGCAAATATTTCCCTCCCAGTCTGCAGGTTTGTCTTTTCATTCTGCTTTCTTGGAGATAAATTTTTAAATTTTGATGAGATCCAGTTGATTTATGGATTGTCGCTTTGGTATCAGATGTTAAGAACTTTTTTTTTTTTAAGCAGGACTTAGGTCCCAAAGATTTTCTCCTGCATTTTCTTTGTAAAATATGAGTTTTATTTCACATTTAAATCTGTGGTCTGAGTTAATATTTGTGTAAGGTTTGGAAGTTTAGGTCCAGGTCCGATTTTTGACACGAATGCCCAATTGCTAGAGCACAGTTTGATGGGAATGCTATCCTTCCTTCACTGAATTTCTCTCTCATCTTTGTCAAAAATCAGGTGAGCATATTTCTGTGGATTGCCTCATATTCTGGTGCTTTAGCTCATGTGTTTATCCTTTCTTTAGTGCCATACTATCTTGGTTACTGTAACTAGTTTGTGTTAATTGTGTTAATATCAGGTAGAGTAATTCTTCCCACTTTATTTTTTTTCAACATTTCTTTAGCAATTCTAAGGCTTGTGTTTGTCCATATAGATTTTTCTATGGGTTCAAAATAGTGTGAAACTTACAGACCAATTTGGGGGGGCAACTGACATCATTTCTGTTTTTAGTCTTCCAATCCATGAACACAGTGTGTCTCTTTATTTATTTATTTACTTACTTACTTATATCTTGATTTCTTTTCTAAAAATTTGTGTAACTTTCTGCATTTGATCCTGTACATGTTTAACATGTATTCCTTTTCTTTAAAGCAATTTGAAATGATACTGTGTTTTTCATTTTGGTGTCATCACTGTGTAGAAATTGTGTAGAATTAATTAGAATTATGTTGTTTGTTT